ATCTCCTTTTTGATAGAGAGCTCAGTGCCAAGTTGTTGTGAACATAGTGCTGCAACATTGTGGACCTACTACGAGACAAAGAACTTAGTGCTGTGACGCTCCATGTTGGCTGAGTCAATTTCTTTCCTACAATTTTTATATGGTTGTAACCTCAAAAGGAGTGTGTGCATGCATGAAAGGGTGTGAAGACTGTAAGAGAAGGAGAGAGTAAAATTTGTATAATTTCTCTCATTTTTCATTGTGGATTTCTTACCTAGGTGTGACTCCTTGTTTTTTTTTTCTATTTTCAGTGTTTTCTTCGTTAAACTCTGACTTTCTCACTGTTTGTTTTTTGTTTGTTTCGTTCTTTGTTTACTCCCAGCATACAACTGGTTTTAAAGTAATTTTGTTTTGACAAGGAATAGTAAGAAAACTTTTCTAGCAAATACATGTTGAATTTTGTGGTATTACCTTTCCTTTTAACATGAAAAATCTTCTGTGTTATATGTTTTTTCAAACTAATCAATTGATTTTTGATAAAAATGTTTTTCTATTCTACATCTTTACTTCTTATCAATTATTTATAACGCTTATTTAATGTTTGTTATGTTTTTATTCTTAGTGCTTGTAATTCGATTTTAGAACAAGAATATTAAAATAGTTCAGTTTTTAAAAATTAACTTTTTAAATGAACTTCCCCTGCATTTGGATCTGTGCTAGCATTTCCAAACCTTCTATTTCTAGTTTATGAAATTTAACAGGACATACTATTGCTACTGTCTCTTTGCATCACCGTCTAACCTGTCCACTTGATTGGCGCATGGTAAAGTATTTGTATAAAGAAAGAATGCATAATTTTTTCTCGAGGAAGAGCAAAATGTGGCCAAAAAGTAAAGAAGGAGCGCAAAGAAAAGAGAATATTGGTCTGGCCTTCCTTTTTGCTTGATGATAATACGTTTTTGGAGGACGGGCAATGCAAATTTTTGTCGGGTGTACGAATGTAAAGAATAGAGAAAGTCTTCTTTAATTCAAATGAGACATAATGCTTGAAGTTAATCAAGATGATCTGCTGTTATCCTGAGGACATGATTAGCTAATTTCATTTTGTCATCGTTGTCATCATCGTACCCTTTAGACTTATCCCAATTCAGCTCTTGGCTAACATTTACGTCATTTTCTGATATTGAAGTTTGCAAGTAACAAGCGGGTAATATCATTAGTCATTCCATTGTTGTCAAAATTTCCTTTTTATCATGCAGCGTTATCTTATTTACGTCATTGCATTTATTTGTAAAATTTATAAGATAAGCTGGTGATATATATATAAGGCCCAGCAAATAAGGGTCTGTTCCTTTGACTAGGGAGTTTCATTTCATAACTTCAATTCTTGTAGTTCTGCAGACATTAGTATTTCATTAAGTATCATATAGGAATGTGGGCTCCGAAAATTCTATGCCCCGGCCTCTCCGCGCCGCCTCTTTTTCTTTCTGTGATTTGTTTATGTGGGCGAGGAGAGTTTTAACAGATTTAAGTTCCGGGCAAATTTTTTGAAGGCAGATTAGGTTTGTAGACAAGATACTACCCAGAAATTTCGCCCTCATTTTGTGAGGGCTTTATAATATGAGTTCTGGTTTTCTATAGGCGCAAGCCCCTATATTTACTTACCCCTTTTGATAACGAGAGAGAACTTTTGATTAAGGCTTGTTGTAACATAGGCCGCATATAATAGCAATAGTTTTAGATTTTGAATTTGAATTTTGAAGTTTATCACCATAAAATTAAAATAAGGGATGGGAGAACGAAGATGAGCCCGATCAAGATCCCATGGTTCTGTCATCATGGGTTGTCATGATCTTTAGTTTACTTAGTCAGTAGTTGACCAAACCTGACAGAAGACACCTTGTCAGCAACCATGAATTGCTTTGTCTAAGAAAATCTTGTAGACCTGGGGTGAATGTTTGTCTAAGGAGTAGATCTGAATCCACCTCAGATAATAGAGGGCTTTGTGCCTATTGAATATTCCCTATGATCCATTACTTAAAGGGTTTGATGCTATTAAGGAACATATGTGCTTTGACCGTGATCGTGATATAATGGTTCCATTTTGCTGCAAAACCATCCGATCGGAGGGCACATGCCACTTTCTTGCTGGTAAGAGACTATTTGAACCCAACTCGACATTTGTTCTTTGTAAGCTGAATTTAATTTCAATTTTATCACCCCCGACAAACGGTTGTGGGAGGTGGATAGGTTTTAGTTTTAAGTTTTTAGGTGATAGATTTTATTTTAAGGATTTAGGCTTATAGTGGTTTTGAGATAACTCTTTCGACTGAGATTTATATTCAACACGATCATGATCGGGGTGACGTTGAAGTTACTTTAAATTTATGTATTTTGATGTGGCGTTCACGAATATTTTGAAAGACAGATTCCCTTCCGGTTGAGATTTACCTTAAACACGGCTATCATCGGGGATTTCATGAGTAATTTCATTTCATTGGTTGAACCTTATCGATTCTGTCTATTTGCCGACAGAGAATCGGGTTTGTTGTCAGCTTTATGCTCTTATTAGTAAATTTTTCTTATAATTGACCTTGAAGGTCTAATATGAATGTATAAAACAAATATCCCGACCGGCGTTACGATTGTATATTTGTTTGATAGTTTGAGCTGCGTCAACTCTTATTTATTCTCGTAGAAGGATCAAACTTTATCTTAACTTCATTTTTTAACCCGCACAACATCTTTAGACGTCACGTGTGTGTATATATCACGTTCATCGGGGCCCATGCAAGATGCGTTTTTAGTATATAGATTGGAGCTATTATCGAGATATCGCCTTTTGTCCACTTGTACAAATGGGTTCCTGATCTGGTGGCGTAGCACTACGGTATGGGTTGCTTGTTGCTTCTTGCTTCTTGCAGACGAACTGCGTGCATTGACGAAATTCTTGCAGCTGCTTGTAGATGCTTGCATTCATCATAAGCTCATTATTTTTCCCTGCAGGCAGTGTGTTGTATTCACTGCATCTTCTTACTCATGCATATAGGGGATCCACCACACTTGTGATACATTCACAGTATTTTATTGCAGGTAGGACCATTGTATGCATTACAAGCTTTCTGTTGTCGTATGCAGGAAAGTTGCATTGAATGTAGATCTTCTAGTGTTGCTCTACTACAGCTTTTTCTTTATTTGCTCGTAGATAGCATGTTGTGTATATGACGAGTCTCCTATAGTGGCTCATAGGTGTTTGCATTTGTTGCAAATCGACTGCCGTTATTTGCGGAGGTTCAATGCATTTACCTGACATTGAATAATTGTTGATTGCAAGGGTGTCGTAACATCTATCGCTTGTTGCTGATTATCACCCGTGGGCATATTGTTGCACATACGACAAATCTCCCGTCATTGCCAGTAGGTGTTTGCAATCATTGCATGCTGTACTGTTACTACTTGTGGGCGAATTAATGAGCTTAGTTGCATGCTAACCAATATTAGCTACAAGCAAATTGTGCTCACTACAACTTCCTTAAACATATTTTGTTGGTGGATTTCCACCTCCCTTGCATGTCGATCGTCACTGTTCACATGAAATTGCCGTGTTTGTCTGCAAGTCGGTTGAGATTGATCGCAGGTCCTTGGTCCCCGCTTGTAGGTGAACTGTTGCATTACAAGTTCTTGTACATTCATTGCAATATCCTCAAATATACTTATAGGGGAAGTCATTACATTTGCACCATGTCCATTATTGTTATTCATAGGTGGAAAGTCATTACATTTGCACCATGTCCTTTATTTTTATTCATAGGTGGCTTAGTGTATTCATTTACAAGTTAACTGTAGATGGGTTGTATCCATATGCTCCTTTTAGAAATTTAGCGTATTAATTAGGAGCCATTGTTTACAATGAGACCATTATTTTTCCCTCAATTCTCTTTGATCATTGGTTGCAAGCAAATTGTGCTTGGCATTTTCTTTATTGAAAAATCCTTGATTGCATGATTAAGTTTGTTATCTTGCAAAATTATATGTTTAATTTTAAATATTAGATTCTATTCTCTGTAATTGTTCAAGTTCTGTGCATTGTCAGTTCATATTTCAACAGCCTCATAGCGCCCCCTCCTTGTTAATGGAGGTAGGGAGGACACTTTCCCTTTCAAATCCGCTCAGTCGGGTAGGATTTAATGGCCAAGGGCTTTGGGAGAGAGAATCGACCTCAGTATCGATCTTCGAGCACCTGTTTGTACTTCGGCATTTCCCTAGAATTTCGACAGCCTTTTAGCTCCCCCTCCCCGCGAGGGGAGGTTGGGGTGCTCTTTTTGATTCGCTCGGCTTGATCGAATCAACAACCGAGGGCTTTGGGGGACATATCAACCCTGAAATTAGTCTTCGATGTTCCAATTTGACGAGTGTTGTACCTGTTTTAAAATTGGGTATTTTTCCAAAATTTTAACAGCCTTACAACGCCCCCTCCCCGCAAGAGAAGGTTGGGGAGAGCACTTGCCCTTTTAACCGCTCGACTGGATCAAATAAATGGTCGAGGGCTTCAGGGGACATATCATGGAATTGGTCTTTAGGGCTTCGGGGGACATAACAATCCTGGAATTGTTCTTCAAAGATCCTCGTCACCGTTCCTTATATATGGAGAAGGATCAGACGGGCACGAAAGCAACTGGGTCATGAGTCGAGCAGTTGCTTGGTTGCTGGTAGGAGATGGAAGAGGAGGTTGGGCTGTGTGTGGCATCAGATTGGAAGTTGGGTTGGTTGAAGGAGTCGGGATCGAGTGGCTATGAGGGAGGTCGGGCATGACCTAGCCATCTACGTGCAGGATCAAGGTGCTCGGCCTAGCAGGCTGCTTGTGATGGGGATCAGGCCTGGGTCTTGAGTCGGAGGAGGCTGCAGAACATGAACGGGAAGCTGGAGTTCGATGTGGGAAGCTAGGCTAGGGGCTTCGGCTTCTTTACTCACGGGAATACGCCGGCGAATATATATATATATACACACACACACACACACACACACACACACACATACATACAGAGAGAGAGAGAGAACGGGTCTTTGCGTGCCTGAGTTTGAATGCTTGAGAGTTTCGATCATTTTGTGCAGTGTGTGTTGCAGTTGTGAGATCGTGCTTAAGTGGGGTAGTGGGAGTCGGCGGTTAAAGGTCTACGTTAAACAAGGAACTGATAAAGTAATATTAGAATGCTCACTTCAAATGTTGTTGAGATGACATAACAGCTGTAGTTCTGCATAGAGCTATCATTTAATTTTCTTGCCATAAATTGAAATTTTGATGCTGTCCTGTTTTTCAATTATTGTATTAGAACTATGCACTGCTAAATGTCATGATTCTGTCTTTCTTGCACTGATGCACTAGCTGTTTTTATTGCTGTGTGGGGGTGGGATTTGAGAAGGGTGATGTCCTGCCTCTTATTAATTGAAATCAGAAAGGACTGTGGTGCTGATAATGACCGCCATCCGATTAACTGTGCTCTTCTTTGCTAATGAACATTTCCTATAACTCCAAGAAGTTCTACTTTATCATAATGAAAGCTTTTGGTTTGTTAAGGGTTTTTGTTCCCTTAGCTGGCTGGTTCTGGAATCAGATTATTCTTTTGAAAAGCCCTTTTTCCCAAAAAGCCATTTTGGTACATGACTGCTAGCTTTATCAAGCAATGTTCGTTATATCTTTTGTGCAATCTAATTCTGAAACTGCTACTTTTTATTTGCAGCTTTGCCAATATCATCCCTGTTTCCATTCTTGTATTTCATGGTATGTATAAGCAAATAATTGTTTAATCTCTTGAATTCTATCAGTTTATCCACATTTTAGAGTTTCTTCACATTTTCATCTTATTGGAATTGAATGATGCAGTTATGGGTGCACTTGTATATAGTTCTTTTGAACAATTTTCTTGTCAGTTATTATTTGCAGATTTATTTAATTTGCTATTTTTTTGTGAAGACGCTTAATCTTCAGGAAATGAACTGTAGATTACTTTTGAATTCATCGTCGCATGTTTTGTAATGCAAATTCTTTAGCTTTATGTATTTCTTTGCTTAATATGTCATGTTTTCGCTGTCAACTTATTTCTATCTTTTGTTTGAGTGTTGAAACTCTTTCTACTAGCTGTCACTTCTTCTGCATGAACTATGCATCAAATTGTCAGATAAAAAATATTTTCTTATGGATTCTTGTGTAAAATGTATTTCAGTAACTTAGAATCAGAACTGCACCCGCTCTTGCTACATTACATTGTCCAGCAGTATCTATCTTCCTATATTCTATTGTTGAAAAATAAAAAGAAGAAAGACTGTTAGAGCAATAAAACAAAAGAGAGAATCTATTGATTTTTTTTTTTGCATGAGGGAGCCAAAGTACATACTGTTTATAAACAAGCATGGGGACCCAAGGGGGGCCTGGTCATGAGCCGAGGAAGGCAGAGTAGTAAATAAAAATTATTAGCGGAACGAAAGCACAATATTATCCTTCTCTTAATGGACAACCAAAATAGGGAATGAAACAAGGGTTGTTTATTAGGTTGCTATCACAATTGTCAAGGAAAGAGGAAAACCAAGGAGAAACTGCCCTTTATGTTGCCAAAACATGATTGGTTTGATTGCTCCAATTTTGGGCTTGATTTCCAGAATTTATTGGTGATTGAATGCAAAATATTTTCTTTGTTGTATGACCCTTAATTCCTTTTTTATTAGCCTCAGCAAGCAATCCTTTGAAACATGGAAGGGGTTGTTGGACTGTTTGCCCAAATTCCCATGCTTTCCGTTAAAGTTGGGAATATATATTCATCATTGCTAGTTTAAAATCGAGACTGTCGATTTGAATTTGATTTAGGGCTTCAGTGATAATATCCACTGAATGAGATTTTGGAGTGTTTAATATATATTTTAAATAAACTATAATTTGAAGATTTTTGGTTAAGTTTACTCCTCTCATGAGGTGGAATGTGGATGAAGGCCTAATAAGCAAAGATTTTTATTGGGATAGTGGAGATGAGTTTAGTTTTGGGGTTGATTTTAGTGAGGACTTCACATGATGTTTTTAATTTTAGGATTCTTGGTGGCATCAGATTAATGAGATATGCAAAAATACAAATATTCTCTCTCGAATAATGAGCATTTTTAAAGATTATGATGGCTTATCTTTCTTCAAGAAGATGTCTATTTTCTTTCGTCGATCTCATTTTATTGGGGAGTTAAATATACTTACTTCAATGAATGATATCATGTTGAAGGAGATAATCCTCAAGAAAAAAGAAAGTACTCTTTTCCAATATTGGTTCGAATGCCTTGTATTTGAGTTTGACTAAGTATGTATGTAGATATGGACTTTTTAAAAGATATGATAAATTTCATATGTATATTTCATCAAAAAAATTCAAGTTGTTCTAATGTGATTAACGACAAATGATATGGGCCACTTGCCCTTGAGACATTGTTGACATGGGAGGGTCTCCAAATATTACTATGAATGCAAAAAATGGTTAGGAGGATTTATAAGGATGGCTATAATAATTGTTTATGAAGGGATTTGATATCGGGAAATAAATGCATTTAAGAGTTATATTTTTGAGTTTTTGTTTTTGTGTTGATTTGAGTGGTTGGATTATTTGGAGTTGGCTGAGCTTCTTCTGCATGCCTTTTTATATCTTTTTCAATTTTTTGAATTTTCACATCTAAAACAAAATTTATAACAAAACTTCTTATTTTTTTATCTTTTCTTGCATATTTTTTAATTCCACCATCAACTATTTTTACTATTAGAAACTTTTCATTTTGATATTCCAAGAACATCTTTTATAATATTTTTATTATCACTAGCAATTGTTTACACATAACATTATATTCCTCATGCACCGTCAAAATATTAAGATCTTGAACATTACTCTAAAAAATATTTTTATTAATATTATTTAAATGCCCCATTTAATCCTAGGACAACATTTTACTTTATTTTCTATATTCTGCCCTTCATGTTTAAGTCCAAAATTAATAAACAATGATGTGTATTTAAACTTTCACTTGGAATAACTTTATAATCTAAACTATCTATTTTTTATAAGAAAGTAATCAATTTGAGTTTTATTATGTCCATTATTATAAGTGATGAGATGCTCATCTCTTTTCTTAAATAAGATGTTAACAATTACAAAATCATAAGCTAGAGAAAAATTTAATATGATTCTTCCACATTCATTAGTCGCTACAAACTCATGACCACCATAAATGTTTTTAAATTCTTCTTCATCTCTACAAACATGTCCATTTAAATCTCTTCCAATAAAAACTTTTTTTCAAGAGGTACTTTTATATTAATTTTTCTAAGTCTTTTTAAAATTATAATTTTGAACAAATATCCAAACCTACTTGAGGAATATAAGTATTTATTATATTAATAATCTTAGCATAAACAATAATCTTTAAAGCTATAATTATTTCTCCAATTTTATTAATTTTATAACATTATCTTTCAAACTTTTATCTATAATCACACCACCATTTTTAGTATGACTTATTCTCGAGTGCTATAGTTTAAATCCTTAAGTATCAATCTCCTTAGCCTTTTCTGTAACCCATTTAGTTTCATGAATGCATAAAATATTTATTTTCTTATGAATCATAATATCTATTAATTTCATTAATTTGCATGTAAGAGAATATATATTTCAAGTTCCTATATTTATTCTAGTTTCATGGACTAGCTTCTTAGCCCACATTCGTCCATGAAGTGAGAACCCTTGCTTATTTAACACTGTACCCGGGCGTCGGTGCAACGGCCCTTGCACGCTTCTCACTATATTTTATACAATATTTTACTTCTAGGAAACACCCTAGCATTCATACAATGTATTAAATGATTTATGCCATGATTATTCGACAAGTTTTATGCTGGCTGTCGACTAACTAATGTAACCCTTCACTTTTGTCATCCAACACTTGGAACCTGACAACGACAATGTTAAGTAGCATTGTGGTATTATTTTATTAAAATATATTTCTTTTGTGGTATGGCATACTTCTTTGGCAATCCTGTTCTACTTGAAAATTTGACCAACGTTATTGTCCAAGGTGTTGGTTAACCCGTGCATTGCCATCTTGTTTTGGATTTCTAATTTTGTACTTTGGATATTCTTTTTGTGGAGGAATGACAACAATAATGAGGTAATTATCTTTCGTTCTACCGCTAATGGACACCATAACTGATTGGGACCATTGAAGGTTGTTTTATTTGGGCCCGTTTAAGGTTGTTTTATTTGTTCAACTTGTTGTGCCAGGGCCCAAAAACTGGTAGATTTGAGAAGCTTTCTTGATAGTTGAAGTTTCCCATGAGGGAATGATTCTCGGCTAGAGGTGGTGTTGGATGAGAAGCTTCTATTCAAAGTAATTCCATATTTAACTATACATGGCTTTGAGTGACAACGAAGGACTAGAGAACGGAAGGGGATAAGGAGGGTTAAAAGCATGCCTCTGATATCATGTTGGAAAATAAAGTTAAGAAAGGCAAGCAGAACAACATATAGAAGAGAGAATCTATTGATTTCTTGTTTCTTGAGGGAGCCAAGGTACTCACTATTTTAGGCAAGCATGGGGACCCATTAAGGGCCTTTAATGCCAAGAAAGGGAGGATGGTAAGTAAAAAATATTGGGGAGGTAAATGCATGATATTATCCTCTACACAATGGAATTAATAACAACCAACAAATGGAAAAAAAGATAATGGTTTTTGGGCGGTAATCAAAGTTGTCCAGGAAGGGGGAAGAGCATGAAGAAACCTCTCCCTATGTTGACAAAAATTCTAGGTTTGATTGCTCCAATTGTGGGCTTGATTTTCAGAATTGATTGGTGGATGAAGCAATATACTTTCCTTTTTATATGACCCTTAATTCCTCTTATGTTAGCCTCAACCAGCAGTGTTCGGCAACCACCACATTCATTACGTCACTAAGGGTGTTGATGAACAGTAGGTTGATTTCAGAGGCCATGCCTGAAGGTGTAAATGAGCTGCTGTATACTTCTGTTTCTTAGGCTTTCATATTATCAGCTCTTTTCCTTTCTCTCCCTTGCTTAATAAACTTTCACTCTTCACTTTTTAATAATCTATACTGTGATGAGCAAAGCGTTGCGAGCTCTATCTTTACCCTTATTCAAGACTATAATTTCTTAAAGATACCGCATCAACGTTGTTCCAGTACTCCTGCCATACTAACATTACATAGATTCAAGAAATCAAGATTTGTTCTCCAAGTCTTACAATATGGGAATCATATGATACTCTTTTATTGAATCCATCATAATCTGATTTTCCATTCACGAATTAAAACTGAATTTCATTAATATATGTATTTAACCTCGCCATTTTGAATCAAACAGATGAGGGATTTACATGTTGCCAAAAGAGTGGAAGACATTGGTTTTTATGCCGGTTTTGTGGGTCAGTATTTGAACTGCTGAAGTGGAAAGCATTTATGTTATTATGCTCTGACATGCTTTTGCAGAAACGCTCTTTGTATGGATCAACATGGCATCTTAAATGCTCAGCTCTGACATCAACTTCTGTTTATTCGTCAGGTTCATCATTTATGCTGGGTAGGGCTTTGACATCGGTGTTTTGGGGAATAATAGCAGACCGTTATGGGAGAAAACCTGTTATAGTGATAGGACTTATTGCACTGTAAGTATTACTTTCAATATTTCAATTCTTATTGTTACATCTTTCATGATCTTTAGCAATTATATTTGGATGGTATTGCTTTGCTTTCTCAAATCCTTCCATGCAAAAATCTCATGTTTTGATGTTTCAGGGTGATATTTAACACATTATTTGGTTTAAGCACAAGCTACTGGATGGCGATTGTGACAAGATTTCTTCTGGGATCATTGAATGGTTTGCTTGGCCCGATAAAGGTTTACAATCGGTTTTAATATGTACAAAATCATTACTTCGACGTTGTGAAATAACTGGATGGATGATATTTATGTTCATTGCTATAACCCCATTGCATCGATATAGGCTTACGCTGTGGAAGTTGCTGGTACAGAATATCAAGCTGTCGGCATATCTCTCGTAAGATCCTTACCGTCTTCCTACACATTTGATGCTTTTTTCGTTTTGTTACACTTCTCATGCGTAATGTAGACTGAATTGTTTAAAATATCTGTCATTGCAGGTTAGCACAGCATGGGGCATGGGCCTGGTGGTTGGTCCTTCAATCGGAGGCCTTCTTGCACAGGTAAACAATGATTTTACGCATTTCTATGCGGTCATTTCTTGTGTCCATTTCTATACTGTGATTTTGTGCAATATATTTTGCATTGGCTTTTTTCTGTAACAACAGCTAGTATGAAAAAAACTAGTGAGCTATGAGGCTTAATAAGTTTTGCAAATTAAATAGCAGTTAAATTACATGATTAAATTCACAACATTGAAATCATAAATAAAATTAATTTGACATTGTTTATAAAATATGATAAAATCATATTTGACTTTAACCTTTATTTCCTCTGAAGTTTATATTGAATATTAATTTTGGTCTTTAAAAGATTTGGCTCATTGAACTTGGCTTCACTGTACTATGCCTCCTGCCACAACAGTACTGTGCTGAACTCCCAACAATCCACTGTGCCAATTTTTCTTCTATGCACTGCGTCGTTTTGCTACAGTAATTCCGGCACAGTGCTGCCCTCTGCACTGCAGCACTGTGCCCAATTATTTGAAAAGCACTGTGCAGATTTTCCTCTATTGGCTGATGTGAAGTTGGCTTGCGTGAAATCCAAAACAGAGAAGAAACTCTGTTGCTTCCGTGAATTCAAAACACAGAAGAAACTCTGTTGCTTGCGTGAAACAGACTAGATAAGGGAATTCTGAAAAAAATTGAGAGAGGGCCCACACACAAATATAACCGAATTCCAATTACAATCTCAGCCTTCTGATGGAATTCTGCCATAGTATGCATCTTTTCATAATTAAGAGAATCTTTAAATTATTTTCTTATATTATCTACTGTTAAGTAAATTGTTTCTTTAAAGTAATTACTATTATTTACTTAATTAACAGTACATTAAAATATTAAAATTTTTTTAAGCTTTTAGAATAAGCTTGACAATATAATTACTTAATTTAAAATTTTTACATACTGAAAATTTGGGTCTTACATACCAAGTTAGAAGCTCACGTCAAACCATATGTGATTTTTTTTACTTCTAAGAGAGGAGCGGGAAGCAGCAATTCCAGAGAAAAAGGCTGGATACTTTGTTTTGTGCATGCAATTCGGTAGATGAGAAAAAACACAAAATTTGTTTCTTTGGCTGCCAAAAACCTATTGATACCAGCGATAGGGATCATTCTGGATGAGTTTAATACTCTGTGGTTCTGATGAGTGGGTACTATTTGGAAGGCATCTCTATTATGTATTTGTTAGGCTACGTACATTAGTCTTTTTCAGAAGTTGTAGTGGCAAAAGCATTGTGAACTCGATACAATTTTCTTGTACATTTGAGCTGGTACACATTTTTGTTGCAAAATATTTCAGGTGTTTCTTTTGAAATTAAATCAGTTATTTCATTGACTGAAATGTTCATTTAGATTGTCATTGCCGATTCCTGAACAAATCAGTCAGCAGGATTGCAGTTAACGGGTAAGATAGAGTATAATTATTTTGCATGTAAGTTAGTTAGATATTTTCCTTCTTGTCATGTCACGTGCTCTTTCCTGTAAGGATGTTTTGCTCAATAGTGTGTTTCACGCCTTTTGGTTTATGATTTTGTTTTTAACTTAATTCAAGACCTGCTGTTTTTTTTTTCTAGTAGTTTTAATTTTTGTTAAATTTTAAGACCGAGTTCTTATTGTTCAAATATTTAAATTCCAAAATTATGCATTTTATTTGACTTCCTATTATTTTATATTTATTCTTTTTCTCTGGTTTCTAAACAAATTTAATGCTATCAGCCAGCAGATAAATTTCCTAATCTATTTTCGAAAGATTCCCTTTTTGGAAGGTACTAACCCTACAGACTGTTATAATTATCGTGCTTTTGCTTGCCAACTTATTTCATAACATTGCATTGCAGGTTTCCGTACTTCTTACCATGCCTTTTTATATCGCTCTTTTCAGCTGTAGTACTATCAACCTGCCCTTGGCTTCCAGTGAGTTTCAATGCTCAATTTAACATTTCTTTCTTTTTTTTTATTGCAAAAGAAAAAACATATTTTGCCAGAGGAAATATAAAATATTCCAATCATGCATATTCTATACCTCAATTGAACACGCAATCTCTTCATGCCCGTACTTGTTGGTAGTTTTAGAGGCTAGCTTAGCAATATGTGGGATTACAAAATTGGCGGTCATTTATTCTGGATAAGTTGATAATCCTTTGGCCTCTTGAAGAGGCAGCAATCTCTATTAGATTTCCAGAAAAATAAATATGTAAAAGCTGTACAATATCTTCCTTAATTCCACTGTAATTAGTAGTTTTCATTTGTAAAAGTTACCAAGAGTATCATTGAATCTTGCTTCATAAATGGAGGGGCAAGACCTCCAATAAATATGCATAAAATTCAAATCATATCTCCTCTTTATGGTATTAGAGCTCTAGGAACAAAATAATCCTAAGCATATTTCTATGTTTTTTTTTATTATGACTCTTGATTACTATGACTAAAAACTATGCTAGAAAATTTAAAGATTGAATAGAAATGTCCTACGAGGCTCTAGTGTGATAGCTTGCCAACCATCAATATTGCATATCATCCTTTGCAATATTAGCATGCAAAATATATTGAAGTTGATAGACATTTTATAAAGAAGATGCTTAATAATGTTATAATTTGTATCACTGGCAAACAACTATGGACATACTAAAGTATTGTCAGAGTCGGTCTTTCAAAAATTTATCCAACAAGCTTGAAATGGATAACATCTATTCATTTGCTCCAGATGGAGTGTGGAATTTCCGTTGACAAAACCGCCCCTAGACTCAGGTGTTGGACTCCGAAACTTGCTTTTTGCTGCCTTCTCATAGATCTGAAGGTCTTTACTGCCATGTCACCAATCTGTGGGGGCTAACTGGCTATACGAGCAAACCTTATGGGTTGTCCGTCTATTGCAATGATTTTGTAGTTGATTCTATTTAATTTTTTGTAATATTTGATTTTGTATATTTCCTTTTAGAAGCTTTCTTAGGATTGTTTAAATTATAGGCACATGTTGGAATAATACCAAGTCAGCAATGCTCCAATTCTTGTCCGTTTGTTTAACTAAAACATGAAGGAAACTCTTTGCTTTAATCTTACTTGAGCGTATTTTTAGATGGACAGTAGTCATAAGAAAAGGCATTTTGCATGAATAAGTCGAGGGATATCGGTCTTTTAGTCGAGGGATATCGTTTTGAGCTATTACTTGATTTTTCAACATACTTTGTTGCTTTTGATGTTCATCTTTTTTAAAGAGCTAAAGTTAAACCAAACTCGATAATATTTTAGTTAATTAGTTGGATTAAGAAGATTGCCATAGGCATTCTAGGTGCGTATAAAATCAGATTTTATGCAAGGAAATTTCACAGAATAAAGATGTGCAACTGTTTTTTATTAACAAAATAATACACGTTTAACGAATGTTGAAAATTTAACACTCGTAAGCCTACACTATGTATCATGAAGCAATAAATTTTCAAAAAATAGAAAGTGAAGCCAAAATCTCAACTCTTAATGATTTTTATAATATATTAGTAACAGACTTTCTAAGGACGTGATAATTTCTTTAGTATATTATAAATAAAAATATGCATAGAACACCTGATATCTATGTTTTTTTTATCTAAAATACATCAATCATAAAGTATAATATGGTATGTAAGTTATGAACAAAATATCTTGGGGTGATGGGGACATCAGATTTCGACACGTGTACCATCGCCGGAGACGCCGATCGACGGCCATGATTCAGAGTTTTTATTTTTGATGTTTTTTTTTATGTCATTTATATTTCATGTTTTTACTTTTGTAACCCTATGAGGGAATTAGTGCTTGTTGTAGCCCAAGGGCAATGTTGTCTTTATGTTTTTATTTCCGGATAGCCTATATAAAGGATTTGTCATTGTATTTCATGGATTATTGATTAAATGAAAATTTTCTACTATGTGTTCTCTTTGTGAGTTCAAGAAGATCTCTTGGTGAGTTCTTCACATGAGATCTCTTTATGAGTTCTCTTAGTATTTACATCCTTAGATCTTCTCCTCATCCACAAATAACACCATCTATACCAACGAGTTAGAAGAAGCCGGCTCCCTCCACGTTTGTCGTCTCCTTGGGATCCCCCACCCGTCAGCCACCCTAGCCCCACCGTCCGGCCTCCTTGCCGCCGGCTCCTCCCCTCCTCCATCCTCTCACCACCACTCTCTCTCGGAACCTCTTTTGAAATTTGAGCTCCAAGTTCAAATTCTTTCCAAAATTAAGAAGTTCCATTTTAGGAAAGTTTTCAAATTTTGAATTCAATTTCACATCAAATGAAATTGGATTCATGAGAAAAGATTTTCCTAGTCATCATCCTAATTTGGAATTCCCTCCTCTTAATTCTCCTCCTCCTTGATGCCGCCGGCCCCCCTCATTGGGCTCCTTCATTAATTGCATAATTAATCCCCCTCCCTATTTTGAAATTCAAACTCTAATTTCAAAAGAAATCCCTCCAATTTCACTTAAAACTGAAAGTTATTTCAGTTTTCACAAACCCTAGCTTCCCCTATTGATGCCGCCGGCCCCCCTTGGTTCTCCCTATTGATTGAGTCATAACTCCTCTCCTTAATTGGGTTTTCAAAATTTAAATCCCAAAATTCTCCCTCCTAAATCCCTAAAAACTGAAATCAATTTCAGTTTTCCAAAGCTTGATCCCTCCTCTCTCCCTAGCTCTATCGCCGGCCTCCCCCTCCTCTCTACAACCTGCCGACCTCTCCATCTTCCCTATTGGAGAGCTCCTTGTGGCGACCACCCATCTTCATCTCCATGTCTCATGGCGGATCCCGAGCTAGAATGGGGGCTTGTGTTCGATGCCCAAGGTAATCTCGACGTCCTACAATCGCCGTTCTTTGACGCGGGATTTGAATCCGACGAAGACACCATGACACCGTGGGAGATTACTTGGATCGGATCCTCCCGATCCTCATCCAAGTCATTGATAGACAACGTCCGGACTACGAGTGGACCATCGACGACCCATTTTCCACGCCACCTCCACATCCTACGCCTTCCTCTCATTCACTACGGATCTCCGGCACCGTCGCCCTCGGAGTGGTTTCATCTCTTGTGTGGTTCTTCTTCTCCCGACAACCCTAGAAGTAGACGGATGAGCGTAGCCTCAAGGTGAGACAATCGCTTTGTTAACCGTCAGATTCTAGTTGGCTTTTCATTTGCTTTACTATTTATTGCTGTCGAAATTTTATAGATCTTGCTAATTTAGCGGTAATAACTTGCCTAGACTTGGTTAAAATTCTAAGATCTCTTTTAAATTTTCATTTAAGAAAAGCATCAAGATTGAACTTTCATTATTTTAACAACTTTTATTAAATTTTCTGAGATTCAATTCCTGGTATCACATCATGGGGTGTCTCCTATCATTTCTTGGCATGACTTTGCCGTGTTGGAGTTTCCTGACCACATTAGAGCTTGCTTTAGATGTTCTATTTATTTTTGTATAAATACTTAATAGACATGATTTTAAGCATTTTTACACGAGTTTGGGGATTTCTTTGCCAAACTGGAATACAGTAGTCTTTCTCAAGTCTTCATGTATCAAAGTTTATGCTAAGTTTAATTAAATTATTTGCCCATCTCCTTTTTTTTTTAAAGGAAACGTTACACAAGCATCATCAAAGCAAACCTGCAACTATGATAGCTGAAGGTCTTGAGGGTTCTTTTCATGGAACTGAAGTAAAAATAGATTTGGAAGGACTTGAAGAAAGTGATGGAGACTCAAATGAAAACCTATTTATGAACTGGCCATTAATGTCATCAGTTATTGTGTATTGTGTCTTCTCTCTTCATGACATGGCGTACACTGAGGTAATGTTTTTCATTCTTGTTATTACGTATTAATCCTTACCAGCAGTCTTTATTTGTTTATTTGGTGTTGCTTCAGGTCTCTGCCATAACCTTATTGTATTTTACTTTTTGTGCTATTAAAAGTTGTCGGTTAATATGATGTTTCCCTGAAATTTGAAGAAAATGAAATTTAACTGTGGATACTTAATTGAAACCATTCTTGGTGATAAAAACTTTATTTATTTATTTATTTTCATAGTGAAAATGGCCCTATATAAATAGAGGGATGTGTATGGTAAGATCCATCATTACTGAAGTTGCTATTAATTCGAAGGCTTCAGTATACTATCAGAAAGCTTCAGATGCTCATATGGCTCAAAGTCACTTTTTTTTTTCTTGATGCATGTTGAAATAGTTATAATAATTTAGTTTATTGATATTGAATAATGCATCTTCAGTTCTTTAAGATAAGTATTTCTACAAGGTTCGGTTTTTTGACCTTTTTATGGTTTGGTATTTTACACTGAGCTTGTAGAGTTTTTTTTTTCCAGATATTTCCTTTATGGGCTGAGAGTGGCAGGGCATATGGAGGACTTGGTTTATCTTCTCAAGATGTTGGCGAGGTGCTTGCAATATCTGGTAAGCAGGTTGTGATGCTTTTCAAGTTCCATATTCAATACCTCAATGTCCCTTCTGCATACTAATTAAACATTCGAGTCACTAAAGGAAATAATTGTTGGAAAGTAACATTGACTCGTTGCATTTTTTTGTTTCTTTTCCCAACTTGACTTTGAGCATTAAACATTTGGGAGGGGCAATTTTTATTACTCTATATCATAAATGTCAATGGTGCAAAATAGCGTGCCTTGGTACGTGGTGTGATAGGGCGCACCCTTGGTGCAATTTGCTTGGCGCAATTCGTGTGCTCACTATTTACACCTTACAACAATAATAGCGTATGGCACAAAATCGACATAGCACATACTATTTTTTATTTTAAATTTATAATTATATTTACTTTTGTATTTATTAATCTTATTATTTATTTATTAACTTAATTGTTCCTCCATGACATGTAAATATTCTTTAATTTCTGAAAAAGAGAGCATAAATTATTTATGAAATATCTTTTAAGCTTCATCGAATAAGTTGATGCTACATTTGTATTATTTGTTGTTCATCTTTTGATTCACACATTTAAAAGGAAGGCAAAAATATTTGAATAAATGCTTGCTTATAAGTATTCGAAAGAATGTCAGATATAGTTGAAACCACAAAAAATAATACATGGAAATATGCAATATTGGCAAAAGAAGGTGATAGTAATTGTATGACATGTATTTTTTGTGGCAAATGAAGAGGATTATGAATTAAGAGCTAATGTTGATGAAGAAAATGATGCTTTTTTTTAATATTTGATGATGATGACCACCACTAGGAAGACTACTTTAATTTTTGACAAAACAAATAGACTTGAAAAAAATGGTTATAATGTTTTGAATTTTGAATGATTGAGATGTTGATTACTTGAACTGAAACATCACTTTGAATGTTTCTATTTTCATGATTATTTATCTTTCTATTTAGTAGTATTTCATATTAATATATACTTTTATTTTATAATTATTTAACATTATGCATCATATTTAAAATAGTGTGCCTATCATGCGCAATGGTTCCAGGGAAACTTTGCGTGGTGGCACATCATTTGCTACTGACAAATATGCTCTATATCATATGGAGTCAATAAACTTTGCCTATTATTGCCAAAGGTGGTGGAAGAATGTGAGCTTCTCATAAACAGGAAGTTGTATAAGTACTTTATGAGGACACTTAGAAATGCATGCAAATTTGAGATATTCTATGACTTTTAACTTTAACTTTTTTTTTTTTCAAATTTATCTAGGGTAGTTGATTTACTCTAGAATCTCGGCTTGTGACTTTTCATGCATTGACATTGTTGACCACGATATATATGCTAAAATAAAATCCCAACGATTGTCAAAAGGATGATTAACAGACACGATGATGCATGGAAAGAGCATCAAAATGCCTTGATTATGGTCAAAATCATCCTAACTTCATATGTTTACAAAGAAGATCACACCGATGCATTTAGGACATTAAATTTACCCAAGGAGAACTGATCGTACGAAACTCAAGTAAAGATAGTTGAAAACGACGGTTGGCAGGTTTGACAATGTGCAAAAGTGCCCAAACAGCTTTTGATTGTGAAATAGACTACACTGTTGCATCCAAGATGTCGAAATTAACAAAACAAGATCCCTCGTTCGATTCTAGTGAACATGAGCGAAAACGATAGACTATGGGTGCAATGTTGCTCGAGGTTGTTTAAATGGCGTTCGTTCGCGAAATAGATTTCTCCATTGTGTTCAAAATGTCGAAATCACTAGTATAGACACTCATTGCCTGGGTCGCCGCACGAGTCCAATTTCAAAATTTGCCCAAGTGCGAGGTGACAACACACATTTCAAGGTGCATGCAAACAAGAAACTATACGAGAGGTCAATTTACATTTAAAAATGACTTTGCTTAGTATTTATATTATTTAAAAATAAAATAAAATACTAAATCCTATCCCTTATCGGTCATATCCTATCCTGGTGAAATCACTACATTGTCCCGTCCCTGCCACCCGTTAACCAAAAAAAAAGTAATAGTAAAAAAACAAATCCTAAGACTAATACAATCCTTATAAAATGATATCCTAGAACTGCTTAATATCATCTCATGCCTTTCAACTCTCAGCCATCCAATCGAATCTCTTTCATTCTCCACTCACCCGTGGCTCCCTCGCTCCTAAAGGCCGAGCACAGCTTGCAACCCACATTGCCCTTTGTGTGTTGGAACTGCCAAATCCCCTCTCGATCCAACCTAGCAACTGACCTATTGCTGGCGCATCCCACAGCCTTATGCTCCAACTAACCTTCCTCCTCACCCCACAAAAACTCTGATCGGTCTCAAGCTCACATGGGTTGTTCCCAGTTGCACCAACCCCACCTGCCCTTATTCGCCGAACACCACCTGTTATGCCTCCTTCCCCCTACACCTGTTGCATATCCGCATGCAAGCCTCATCTTGAACTCCCCAACTCTCATCTAACCACCACCAATTAGCCTCCTACTCCCCCTCTCACTTCACCCGACCAACCTTCTTAACCACCTTCAACACCCCAAACAATTGTCTCAGTCCAGCTACCTACCCGTTGCTCCCATAGCCCAACCTCTCCTAGGCTGATAGCCGCCTGCTTAGCCAACACGACCAACCAGTCAACCCTTACCTCCAGCCACCTCACGTGCACTCCACTACCTGCAAGCCCCCTTACGCATCCACTTACAATGGCCTTGCAACATCTCCTTCATATAGTTGCACACTTGCCACTTATGGCGCCCTCAGGATCTAATAGAAAGATTAAATTCTTAAACATAAATTTTTCTCAACCATCAAGCAGAATAAACTAGTGCTAATTATAAAATTCAAACAATAATAATAGTCTAAACATTATTTGATTTCATGTCTCAAAATATATGAAATCTATACATAAAAAAAAAAAAACACTGGATTACAAAAATACCTCAAAATTCTTATCCTAATGATCCTGCCTTTATCTACTCTACTCGGCTGGGCCCTTTCCTTTCCCTTAAATGTTAAACATTAGTAGAGTGAGTATTTCAACTCATTAAGCGCACCCATTTCTATTGCAAAATTCAATATCCATAATTACATTTCATAAATTTGAGATTTCATTAGTAAATTCAAAGAATATAAAGTAAATATAAGTTTCTCATAAAGATATCAGAACTTGTTTTTCATAGATATACATTTTCTTACAGATTCATAGGGTCATCAGAGTGCATGTATTTCTATAATAGAACAGAGTGGTACCTTTACTCATTCACTTTCTCCACAGATATTTCAGATTTTTGCTTGCACACAAATAATTTAAAGCAGTTGGTTTTAGAATCTTTCTTTTCAATTAAATTCATACTATTTATAAGAATATTCATTTTAGGAACATAATATGAGTTCATATGTAGAATGATATGCATGTTCCGATGTTTTCATATAACTCCACTTCCAATTATGCCTCCCACAGTCTATCTTCACTAAGTGAAGGAGACCCTCATACTCTCCCTATAACTCCACTTCCATTTATGTGTCCTTTAAAACTCCCACATTTACATAAAGCAAATGGGGCTAGAATAACAAACAGAACAAAGCACATCATGATAGAATGCTGGGTCCATAGAATAGAGTTTATAGTGCAATTTATTAGTCTCCCACATCAGAACATCCGCCATATGATCATAAATGCACATGCAAAACTTTACAAAGTCATTTGCACAAGATGCTGATATAGTCATGAATGCGAGTACACCATACAGTAGGGGTGTCAATATTTGACACAACAAGAAAACCCGACTCGAACCCGACCCAAAGATTCCATGTTAGGGTCAACCTGGACTTGAAAAGGGTCGGGTTTGGGTTCAACAATTCGACCCGTTTAAAAAATCGGGTCGGGTTAACTCATTGACCCGAAAGTGACTCGAAAATCCATTATTGACACGGAAACCTAAGATTGACTCGTTTTCAACCCGAAAAGTGGAGTCCCTTTTTTTAACCTGAAAACTTTTCATGATTTCGGGTCATTCGGGTTGTGTCGGGTTGACCCGGACCCGAAGCGGGTCGGGTTCGGGTCCGAAAAACTGACCCGTTTGCAAAAACGGGATGGGTTGACCTGAATAGTGCCTGGTCAATTTCGGGTTCGACCTGAACCCGTCCCAAACCCAAAATTGACACCACGACCATGTAGAGGATGATACACACTTAGATTTTCAAGCTTTCACTATTTAATATAATATTCATAATTAAGCTTTAAAACATCATTTTGAGGCCTGAGGAATTTAACTGATCTCAAGGTTACCCGTTCTTAAAAAAGGAATATTCAGAAATTAGCATAAATAAAATAAATTGGTGAAAACTTCATTTTTTACAGTCAAATTGTCCAAAATAAAGTATTGTACAATATACTAAAAATTAAATGGTGAAATATCATTTATAACCATTAAAATACATTTTTATTATCTTTTCACAGAAATGTTGGAATTAAAATCAGAAATAGGGTATTGAGAGTCTACCTCGAGCACACCGATTTTCCTAGCTAGCTCTGTTGACCTAAAACTGCCGCCCATTCAACGGCTTAGACTAAAACTACCCATGGCACTCAACCGCTCATTCCACCTCAGCAAATCATTCAAAATTCAAAATTTAAACCCTAAATTATTGCTATTATACAATAGGTTCATAACCTATGTGAACGCTTGAACGACTAGCCTTAATCGAAAGTTCTCTCTTGTTATCAGGAGGGGTAATTAACTATAGGGGCTTGCGCCTATAGGAAACCAGAACTCAGATAAAAAAGTCCTCACAAAATGAGGGCGAAATCTCTGGGTAGTGTCTTATCTAAAACCCAATCTGCCTTCTGAAAATTTCCCCGGAACCTAATCTCGTTAAAACTCTCTGTTGTCATCGTCTCACAAACACTTAACAGAAAAATAAACCGATGGCGTGGAGAGGCCGGGATCAATACAAAAATGGAATTTTTCGGAGCCCACAAG